AGCAGCAGTTTACTTACAGTGCTGTGGCTGCTCTGGAGTCATGGGTTGCTGATCCCTGCTGGGTTAGCAGCAGGGAGGAGCTGTAGGACGCAGAGTGACATGATTGTTGCTCTGTCATCCCACAGGAAAAGTTTTCTTTTGTAAATGGTGTATATTTTGTTTGGTTTTACATTTTGACACTAGGCTCCTAGTCCTGCTCTGAGTTCTGTGGGGCTGGACTTTCATGCCTGCATGAGGGCCTAAGTGTTTAAAAGGACAGTGGGTGCTGGAATTTTAGTGAACTTAAAAATAAAAGCTTTAAAAGTAGTTTCAGATAGTAAACTTGCTCTGACGTAATCATGTTTTTTCTCATTGCTGTGCAACAGAATGCAAAACCAGGAAAAATAGTACACTGTGATCTATAGTAACTATAGGGTAACTACATCTGTTAGATAGACATCTGTCAGGGATGGTGTAGACGGAGCTTGGTCCTGCCTTGAGGGCGGGGGGCTGGACTCGATGACCTCTCGAGGTCCCTTCCAGTCCTATTATTCTATGATTCTATGATTCTACAGGCCTGTTAGTTTGACATCTGTAGTATGTAAGATCCTGGAAAAAATTTTGAAGGAGAAAGTAGTTAGAGACATTGAGGCTAATGGCAATTGGGACAAATTACAACATGGTTTTACAAAAGGTAGATCGTGCCAAACCAACCTGATCTCCTTTTTTGAGAAAGTAACAGATTTTTTAGATAAAGGAAATGCAGTGGATCTAATCTACCTCGACTTTAGTAAGGCATTTGATACAGTACCACATGGGGAATTATTGGTTAAATTGGAAAAGATAGGGATTAATATGAAAGTTGAGAGGTGGATAAGCAACTGGTTAAAGGGGAGACTACAGCGGGTCATACTGAAAGGTGAACTGTCAGGTTGGAGGAAGGTTAATAGCGGAGTTCCTCAGGGATCAGTTTTGGGGCCAATTTTATTTAATCTTTTTATTGCTGATCTTGGCACCAAAAGTGGAAGTGTCCTAATAAAATTTGCGGATGACACAAAGTTGGGAGCTATTGCCAATTCAGAAAAGGATCGGGATATCATACAGGAAGATCTGGATGATCTTGTAAATTGGAGTGATAGCAATAGGATGAAATTTAATAGTGAGAAGTGTAAGGTTATGCATTTAGGGATTAATAACAAGAATTTTAGTTATAAGCTGGGGACACATCAGTTGGAAGTAACGGAGGAGGAGAAGGACCTCGGAGTCCTGGTTGATTATAGAATGACTATGAGCTGCCATTGTGACATGGCCGTGAAAAAGGCTAATACGATCTTGGGATGTATTAGGCGAGGTATTTCCAGTAGGGATAAGGAGGTGTTAGTGCCATTATACAAGGCATTGGTGAGACCCCATTTGGAATACTGTGTGCAGTTCTGGTCTCCCATGTTTAAGAAGGATGAATTCAAACTGGAACAGGTACAAAGAAGGGCCACTAGGATGATCCGAGGAATGGAAAACCTGTCTTATGAAAGCAGACTCAAGGAGCTTGGCTTGTTTACTTTACCCAAAAGAAGGCTGAGGGGGGACATGATTGCACTTTTTAAATATATTAGAGGGATAAATACCAGGGAGGGAGAGGAATTATTTAAGCTTAATACCAATGTGGACACAAGAACAAATGGATATAAGCTGGCTAGTAGGAAGTTTAGACTTGAGATTAGACAAAGGTTTCTAACCATTAGAGGAGTGAAGTTCTGGAACGGGCCTTTCAAGGGAAGTAGTGGGGGCAAAGATCTATCTGGTTTCAAGATTAAACTAGATGGGTTTATGAAGGGGATGGTTTGATGAGATAACATGATCTTGGTAACTAATTGACCATTCATTATCAGTGGGAAATAGGTCAATGGAGGGATGATAGGAGTTACTATAGAGAACTTTCTGGGTGTCTGGCTGATGAGTCTTGCCCACATGCTCAGGACTTGTCTACACTATGGATGCTTTAACAGCATATCTACGTACCACAGAGGCAGTTGACAGAAGGGTTTTTTCCACAGGTTTGGCAATACCACCTCCCCAAAAATGGTAGTTACATTAACAAAAGCTTTCTTCTGTCAACATGTCTGTTTACACTGGGAATTAGGTCAGGATAACTGTCACTTGGATGTGATTTTTTTCCCTCACATTTCTGATATTGCTGTGTCAGCCTAACTTTCAAGTTCATAGAAAGCCTTTTTTTAATACAGGCATGCAAAAAGATCTATTTTGTCCCGGTTGTTGGGGGAAGGGGGGCGGGGGGAACCCTTGAATACTACTCGCTAGCCATATTTTCAGCTCCCAGTGAGATTTACAGAAATTGTACATGAAGGTGGTATACAGCTCTTTATAAAGGTGCTCGAGAACTACAATGAGTGAGACACAAAAAAGCCCTAGATAGTTTCCTCTCTTGGTATATAATCAGAGAACCCAAGTCACACTAAAGTTTCACTAAACAGAGCCATGATCATGCCTGAAGGCTTCTCCAATCTGTAGAAGAGGGAAATATGTTGATTTTATTTATTTTGTTTTTGTAGCATGTTTTTGGCACTTGGGACTCCAGCAAAAAAACTGATGATGGACATCAGTGTGGGTCTGTCTCCAGTCAAGACATCTACAAATCGCACCTTTATTTCTAAAACAAAATGTTCACCTGGATCTAGCAATGAGGATAAAGAAAACCAAGTGTCACCTCTGAAGTCCTCTATGCCAAGGAAGCTTGACAATTCCCCACTTCAGATAGCCAGCATCCCAATGGCAGCATGTGGGAAGTTCTTGGGAAAAGTGTCTCCAAAGACTGGTTCCCCATACAGGCCAATTGTGCCTGCTGCATCCTTCTACCGCAAGGAAAAGCGGTATCTTACCCCACTGGAGAGGAAACTGGTAAATGAAAGCCGCCCTCTTAATTACAGGGACAACGATGGAGACCTCCCTAGTGCCAATAGGACGGAGAAAGTACAGGGAAATATGAACCTTATCAGGAATGCAAGCTCAAAAACATCCAAACGTCAGATTGATTCTAGGTATGTCAAGACTTTACCAAGATGTGTCAAGAAAGCCAAGGTAGATGTAGCTCCTGTCGTACCTGTTGTGGAAAAGGAGAACGTTGTTTGCTCAACTGAAAAGAAAATAGAGGCTCCTTTCAGAGTGCTAAGCATGAAAGTGAAACCTCTGCTGAAGCTCCAGATGGGAGCAGCATTCTTTTCTACTGGGAAGAAATCCCACTCTGGTCCTAAAAAGTTGTCTTGGGGTGTTAAATCCCCCCAGCTTCTCTCTAGTTCTGTAGCAGAGGCTGACCTGCTGAGGCCATCAGGAGATAGGGCACTTTACTCAGATGGTAAAAACAAAGTTACCAAGATCAGTGAGGTATCAGAACATGCAAATGTGTCCCAGAAGAAGGAATATGAAGATAGGGAGAAATTGGCTAATCGCATAAATCAAGAGAAGGAGGTTGATCATGAATTGAAGGTCTCATTGCAGAAAATAGAATGTATTCCATTCAATCACTCTGGTTCCTCAAATCCGAAGGAAATTGATACAAGGAACTTGGTAAGTAGCACTGAGAGTGTCACTTAAGATATTTCTGTATATAAAAGACGTGTGCTTGCTTTGTTCAGCAAGGACATAGTTGCAGTGCTATTTCTAGTAATTCTAAGGCATGAAGGAAGTGTATGGTGCATTAAGTAAGACATGTTAGAGCTCTTTCAAAGAAAGATATTCCTTAGATTTACTTCTGATACTTCCTGAGGTTACATGAAATTAGAAAACTGTAAGTGAGACTTTGAATTCCTGAGCATGGTGGATGCAGAATGTGGAGTAGGGCAGCACTGAAACTAATACTTTAAATACGTGTTTTGACCTATGTACAGAGAAATCTTGAGAATTGAATTCTCATCTCTTCACTGCTGTTTTCTTCCCTCCATTGGTCACCATTGCTATGTTGCTTTTAGGTTAGCTGAGAGGAAGACTTACTCAAAAAAAGAGTTTGCAAAACTGGATTCGTACCCCTTTGTTTTTATTAATGCAGCACAAATATCTGCTTTAAAACCTTATAAATGTTAAAAATTCAACATTGAGCCTTCAATTAATGCATGACAGACAAGGAGTATGCTCAGGCTACATATGTGAGCCTCAACAAGTCCTCCAGCTAAATAAGAGAGGCCACACTTCATATTCCTAACAAAGCCATACTTTCTCCTAAGTGTACTAGGTGTAAGAATTGCATAGTTACTAGTAAAAAAATGCAGATTTAAACTAGGGATGCAATAGTGTAGTTCAGTAGTCCCCAACCTTTCGGGGCTGCCGGGAGCCCCAGGGGCCCTCCGGCACTTGTGGGGGGGCCCCCTGGCGGGTGCCATGGCATCTGCGGGCACCGTGTTGGGGACCACTGGTGTAGTTGATTAATTGATAAGCAAAAGCTTATAGGTTAATGCTATAGAATACACTCATATCCTTCCCCCACTCTCTTGCCAGTAAATTTTTTACCAGGCTGGCCAGCAGCCCACCATAGTCCAGGCTCATGCTGGGTCCGAGACCTACCCCTACTGCAGCTCTGCATTTAAAGTGTATTAGGAGCCCAGCAGGAAGGCAGCCCAGCTCAGTTCTGGCTTGTGCTGGGTCTGGAAGGTCAGACCCCCTTAGACAAGGGCTGCTGCCACCCTGTGCTGCTGCAGACCACCTCCTGCCTGACATCCCTCTGATACAGTAGCTTCTGGCCCCGCCCTCGGGGACTATAGAGTGGCCGAGTAACTGATAAGATTTCATGCGGTTAACCAATATTTAATATCCCTAATTTAAACTGCTAGATTAAAATTTTCTTACCCTCTTTAATTGCTTAACTTTGTCTCCCAACTCCTGCGTTGTTTAACTAGATCGTCAGCCGCTGTAGAATCTTCAAGGTATGCAAGACCTGAAATTGTAATGCCTTAAAAAAAAAAAAATGACGGATGGAGGGACTCTGGAGGTGGGGAACGTTCGGGTTGCATTCATAAATATTAGCCTTAAGGGCACAAATATATTTGTTGTTGCAGTCAGTTTTTATCGCACTCTGTTTATCCTTTTCATGTCCTAATGAGGCTGGTAATTAAGTTTTTTAATAAGTATTCCGTGTAAAAAATATTAATTTCACTTTTAAAAAAGCATTTTGAGAAGCGTGATATAAAATGTAATTATTCAATGTCCCTTCCAACTGTGTGTTGAGATTGTCCCTAGAGGTGTGCAATATCAATTCCCTGGATCTGCAGGGAACACTTTATAAGTACTGTACGCTACCTGACCCTAAAAGACCAGACTCAAGTCTCCAGCGGAAGACCCTTGCTAAATTACTCTAGGTGGGATGGTTTTTTTGCTCGTCTCAGTGTCAAGGCAAGTGAAACAAACAATTTAGCAAAACCAGATCTATTTCTAGATTTATTTTGAGACTTCTCCTGGGTTCTCCTTGCAGATAGCCAATGAGGCCTGAGTGGTGACACAGAAATGTTACAAATTAACGGCAATCTCGACTGCAAAGATTACGCTGTATGTAACTCCTGTCCCTGTACAGTCTGAGTGCCAGCTCTACTGCTTCCCAGTCCAGAGTGGAAAATAAACCCAAGATTATGCTTAAGTGAAGCAGTAACAATAGATTTACTGAGCTGCTCTCTATCCAAAACATAACAATTTTGTTTCTGTGGATGGTGGCTCTTCAGTGCACCACTCTTCCCTGTAGATATTTTTCTCTGCAGAAAATATCTTTTGCTGCATAGGTGCTGCATATGTACCTTTCATCCACCAGGGGGTGCTGTGGCACCAGAACAGAGAGCAGCTGACTCCTTGGCAGTAGCTGCTGACTGCTTACCTCACACCAGCCTTTCCATGGGGCCAGGTTAGGATACAAAAGATATTGCTGTGGGAATGGTGGAAAACAGAGCAGGACCCATGGGGCTGCTGGGAGGTCAACTAGAATGGGATTCAGAAGAGCTGGTGGGGTACAGACTGGGTCAGGGGCTGAATGGGAATAGGGGTGCAGGACCACATGGAAATGGGCTAATGGGTGTCTGAATAGGGATTCAGGAACTCATGGTAGGGATGAGTGTGGGGGCACGTGAAGTGGGGTGTAGGGTTAAATAGGGTTAAAATGTGTGTAATTCATTAACTGTAACCACTGAAAACTTCAGCTATTATACCAGGACTGGGCAAAGTAGGGTGCAGGTGCTGGATCCAACCCGCCAAGCCAATGGATCTGGCACGTGGATGCAGCAGGGAACCTCGGGCAGACTCCTTGCTTGCCCTGGCCCTTGCACGTTGCACATAAAAATGACTCCCGGCTGTTTGTGTTTCTCAGCTGTGAGCTGGGGAATGGGGAAAGGCTGTCCCTGTCCACATCACAATCCCATTGGCCAGTTTCTGGCCAGTGGGAGCTGCCAGTTTGAAGAGCAGGTAGTGCGCAAAAACACTCCCCCCTTCCTCTCAGCTCTTATTCACAGACACACAGGGCCCCTGCAGCCTGTACAGGTGTAGGGCAGGCAGGTAGAGAAGCTGCCTAAGAAATGTGCTGTGCTGCTGGCTGGGAGTCACCCAAGTAAGTCTCCTGGCCAAAGCCTGCCTCTAACACTCCCACCCCTCCTCCCCTCAACAATCTGTCCCTCCACTCCAACCCCCTTCCCCCACATAAGCCAAACTGTCTACCCCACCTGAGCTCATGCACTCTCCCAGATCCAGCACCCCAATCCCCTGCCCCAGATCAGTCCCCTCCTGCCCTAGCTTAGGGATGTAACCGATTATCCGGTAAGCGCAAGCTTATTGGATAGTAGACACACTAGTTGCTCTTCTCCCCCTCACCCCCTGCTGCCTCTATCAGAAAGAGGCAGCGAGAGGGGAGAGTTTAAATTTAAAAATAGTCTTCAAAATTCAACACTGAGCAGTTAGCTCCTGCTAAGTCTCACTTTTGTGGGTTTCTAGAGAATTGTTTAGTTCTGGAAGTGGGGTCTGGTTTCTAACTGAACATATAGATGTCCTAGGTAAGATTGACAATGGACTGAGCACAACAATAAAATGCCTAATGTGAACCGGGTTTGGGGCTTACTTCATTGTATTTAATGTCATGTTTTACTGACGTTTTCTGGCACCTAAAAGGTGTTTGTAGGCAGGGATAAGTAGTATTGAGATACTTTCATGGCTGTACTGGTACTTGAAGGGAAACAATAGACAAGGTGAGTAATAGCTTTTATTAGACTAATGTGTTTTATAATTCTGTGTTGGTTTAATAAAGAACTATTTAATACCTTCTTTGTTCACTTATACTGTGAGCGTATCCATCACATTCCTTACTTGATTGCCAGTATGTGTTTTACAGCAGAAATTTAATAAAATACAAATGTTGGGTAGGTCAACAATTCTACATATAGAAGAAAAATATAACTTTAAAGCACTTGGGCCTGCTGTGATTGCAGGCTCTTAAGGTAATAAACTGCATTTTCAGAAGCCTCGGGTGTATGGCAAGGATGGGCAATAATTTTTGTAGGGGGGCCACTTAATGAGTTTTGGTATATGGTCATGGGCTGGCTCCACCCGCTAGAAGGGGCAAGGCTTGGTGTGGAAGAGGCGGGGCTGTAGACTAGCCTCTCCCCCCTCCTTCGCCAGTTGTCTGGGGCTGGAGGCTTTGAATTAAAAACACAACAAAGGGCTCCCGCCCCGCTGTTACCTCGTTGCTGCAGCTATTTTAAGGGGTTGCTACTCCAGCCCTTGCCAGGATAGCATCACAACCATGAGCCATTTAAATAGGATCCTGAGTCTCTGCCTGGAAACTTGGTAGCATAGGCAGCAGGCTATAAATAAAAAGCAGCCAGATGCAGTCTGTGGGCTGGATCTGACCCCTGAGCTGCATCTTGTGTAACCTTGGTGTAAGCAAATCTAGTGAAATTCATTTCCGATCTCAAAATTGTTAGCCAACTTTGTGCCTTGATCTAGTCTCTAACAGCTGTTTGATCTCATGGTTTTTAATTGGTGGCTGTTCATGGGATTACGGTTTTGGTCATGGGCAGGGAAGGATGAATATGTTCTAGTTGTCATAGCAACCAGAAGTTGGGCAGACATTAAGGTAAAAATTAGGGCTGTCAAGCGATTAAAAATTCTAATTGCGCAATTAATCGCATGCAACTCCCCTTTGAAATGCCACGATGGCATTTCAACAGGGCAGTGCTGCATGGAGGCTGGGATCAGCTGGAGTTCCCAGCTGACCCTGGGCTCCATGAAGTGCTGCCACTTTAAGGCGCCAAAGCAGCGCTTCAGACATTAACACAGGTCAATTGACAGTCCTAGTAAAAATCAACTTAGCATGGTCATTCGCTAATTCTTTGCAGAAAGTTCCCAAAGAGCTTTCCAGTTTCAGAAATGTAGACTCCAGAATAGGACTAGAATACCAACAAGATTGAAATGAAGAAATAATTGTACAGAGCTGCAGCTAGAAGTAGTAGAAAGCCATGTGAAGGACATCAACAACTTGCTATAAACCTGGCCATAGCTAATAGGAAGGCCCCTGCAAAAACAGTCTCTCTGATACCAAGATGCAGGTTCCAGCAACAATATTATCCAGCAATGTTCAGCTCAGCTTGGAACATTACATGGTGGGACCTCTAGCCTCTGCAAATCATGTCTCGGTACTGAAGAGGATCAAAGTTATTAGTTGCATTTCAGATTCTTTGGCCACGTTTGGCCTTTCCCCTGAGCATTCAAGATGCATGAGATTGTGTAACTAGCTAACTATAAACCAAGCCAAGCGGACAGGTTTTCTTTGGGCTTTTAAAATGTTTCTCTCTTAACAGGACTTGGATGAAACACAATCTTCCATAAACTGTGAGTTGGATGACCATGAGGATATTTCTTTCAATCAGTCTCCAACAGAGACTAATAAAGGTAAATAGTATTGCTACTGTATTGGTCTAGGCCCAGGGTTCTTAAAACTATGGGGTTGCCAAGGCTGGTGTTAGATTTGCTAGGGCCCAGGGCCAAAGCCCAAGGGCTTCAGCCCTTTGTAGGGGGACTAGATGTTAAGGATGTAAAGTTACTAGGTGAAACTTACAGGTTCTGGTTAACCATTAGGGGCTGGAGCAGTTCCCTGCCCTGGGCAGGGGGCTGCTTCAGCCCCAGACGGCCCACTGCAGGCAGGGGCTGCTCTAGCTTTCCAGAGCAGCCCCGTCAGTGGTGGGACTGGTCCTGTCCCTCTTCTGCAGATTACATGCTGGCACCCAGGGATTCAGCTGCAGAGCCCGCAGTGAAGCCTTCTGCCCCAGAGTGGAGCTGGCAGGCTGTGCACTCTGCAGTACATGTAACCATTGGATTTTTAGCAGTTACATGGTCACTGTTTTTAAAATGACTTCTTACATCTCTATTATACATGCCTGCTGCCTAGGGCAGAAGCTCTTTAGCAGCTTTGACTTTGTGCCCAGAGTAGCAGGGTTTGGGCTGCCTTGTCTTCAATTTCTCCATTCCTTCCCCACCCCCCCGGGGTTGTGTAGTAATTTTTGTCAGAACAGGATCATGGTGCAATGAAGTTTGAGAACCTAGGTGTTGTTTAGAGAGGAAGAATGAGTTTGGTCTGCAGCCTTAGTTGAGAGCCGGTCAAAATGCTATGGTGATTATAGCTGTTGGACTGTCTTTAAAGAAGGTCTTCTGCCCTTGTGCGACAATCTTTATTTTTTTTGGTGTTTGGTATTCCTCACCAGTCTTGCTAAAAAAATGGACTGAAATTTCTCCTCTTGCTGTGAGTTCTAGAGCTGAATTTGTGACATCACACTTTATGATAAGTTTGTGAAGCCATGCATACAGGGAGGGTATGCTATAG